TGGGGAGGATGGGGCTCAGCAAACAGGTCAGGAAAGTTGAGGCGCAGCGGGGCGTAAAGGGGGCAGGTGAGCAGCATGTGGGGGGCATCTTCAATGCCGTCGTGGCAGTGGGGGCAGACTCGCTGCTCTCGGGGGCGCCGCGTCCAGCGGCCGGTCTCTTCCGCGCCCCAATGCGACCCGGTGCGCAGCTGCGCCAGCGCCTCGCGGTCCTGCCGACGCCGTACTGCATCCAGGTAGGTCTCGCGCTGCCCAAACATGGCGGGCGCCAGGTTGAGGGCGCCCACCACGTTGTGCACATAGTGCTCCAGCCGGCTGGCGCCGCCCTTCGCCAGCGCCTCCTGGAGCTGCGCCAGCTGGCGGCGCTGCGCAGCTTCCCCCAGCTCGCCGAGGTCAACAGGTGCTGGCTGCTGCAGGTCCAGCTGCATGCTGACCGCTGCGAGACCGGCCGCCAGCTGGGCAGCCCAGGACTGCTGTGCCAGGGGGTGGGCGCCATCTGCGAGCTGCACGCTGGACAACAACGCTTGCTGCAACAGGCTGCCAGGACGCTCCTCCAGCGTCTTGTTCCAGAGTTTGGCTGCCCGCCGCAGCCAGCGCTGCCACAGCGGGCGCTCGCCAGTCTCCGCAAGGAGGGCCGCATTGGGGGTGCTCTGCCGGACCCCCAGCAGGTGGCGTAGGTAGCTGAGCTGCAGCTTCTCGGCCGCGCTGCCGGCACTGCCACGATGGCAGCACGCCGCTTTGGCCGCCAGCTGCACGCCCCACACCTCAGCACCATGGGACAGCACCGAGTCCACCATGGTGCCGAAAAGCCGCAGCTGGACGGGCGCCGCCCGATGTTGGTGCGTACTCCAGGCGGCAGGCAGCGCCGCCGCCGGGCACTCAAATGGCATGGGGCACATAGGCCCCCATGCCCGCACATCTCCCACGCACATGAATATACCAGAAGGCTGCACATGTAAGGGTGCATGCACTGCACGCAGGAGTGCAAAGTGGCCTGCAGCGGCGGTCGGTTGTGCCATCACTCAATCAGCCGCCGATACCGTGCGGGCTTGGCGTTCCCATGCCAACATTCAACACATGCCAACAAGGGGCCAGTGAGTGTGTGAGGTGGAGGTGGGGGTGGGGGGGCTGCCGCTGACCGCTGCTTGCTGACGCTCTTACCTGCGGGGGGAGGGGGTGGGTAGGGAGCCAAGGCCGGGCAAAAGATGCCCGGGCCCTACTCTGGGAGGCCCTGTCCAGTGGCTGTAAGAGAGGCTATAAACAGGATGAGGAGGGGAAATGGGGGGCAAGACATGGGAAAGTGGGGATCAAGTGCAGGATCGCAACGCAAGCGACTCAAAGATGCCACCCAACCCTACAAGGGAAACCGCGTCGTAGGACAGGCGACCCAGGCGGGCAGGAGGTCAGATCACACTGGAGAAAGGGTCCAGTCTGCTGCCAACGGGTAGAGGGGAGAAGGGGGAGCTCGAGGTTGTTGGTTGTGGGGTGGTCGAGTATCGCGTTGCTGCCGGCCGACCGTGCATGCATGCATGCACCCGCGGCTAAGAAAGGCCTTCTTTGAAGGCGCTAGAGCTAGTGTCTAAACCCTCCGAGAGGGCACAGGTTCGATTCCTCCCATGTCGAAACTTTGTGAGGACAAACGCGGCATAGCTGACCGGCTCAGCGCCAATCCATGCCAATTCCTTCGGGAACGCCTAATAGAATCGCCAAGGCTTCGGCACAGGCCTCCCCGGGACCCATTCACTACTAGTGGGGGGTACTGCACTTGGCGCGTCAGGCAGATCAACTAATGGTCTAAAGCTAGACGTTAAACCGGGAAGTTAAGCCTGTGGAGGCTCTTCCCCACCTTTACCTTTACCTTTACCGGCCTTGCTCGCACACGCCTCCACCCAAGATCATTCTTTGTTTTACACCCCTTTCACGGCCGTTTGCTGCGATTAAACGATACAAACGAGCATGTTCTCAACGCACAACATTTGACCCCGTAACCGAAAGCCTATACAACGCCAAAACCTCCCCGCCAGATCTTATTCTTCCGATTGTTTTTTGCTGCCGAACCCCGCCGGAGCCCGTTCGGACGCCTATCGCGCCCAGATGGCTCTTTTGAGCGAGTGTTTGGCATTCGCGGGCTCCGAAAAGGGGGGAGGGCCGACAGCGGTCGCCATTCGAACAAGCGATCGCTTGTTCGCGGGTGCCCACGCGTGAGTTTCGGTCGCAGCGCACCTTGCTTTGGTCTAAGAGCGCTGGGAGGCGGGAGGAATTGAAGCCCATGGCCAACTGCCGCCCAGCCCATGGCGCCCGCGGCCGATCGGTGCCGCGAGCTCCGTTGGCCGTGCCGGGCATCGCGTTTAGCTTTGTGCTTGCTTCCTGGTGCTATGCAGCGCCTCCGAGGCTCTCTTCAACCAAATTCTAGAGGCTCGGATTGTGGAGGAAGCAGATGTTGAGCCCGCGTGCCTGGTGTACACACCGTTTTGTCCACCTTTCGGCCATCCAGACACCTGCGCCATGGCCATCAAACCCGACCCGGCTTTTGAGGCAGACGTACCAGACACTCCGGACACACCACATGTGACGCACGACATGGCCAAGCCCGAGCCTGTGGTGAAGCTTGAGCTTCCTTTGCACGACGCAACCAAACCTGAGCCTGTGGTGAAGCTGGAGCACGCGGGAGAGACTCACACCACGACCGCCTCACCCGGGATGGCTCAGCGGGCGCGAGCTTGCAAGTGCTCGCGCGCGGTAGAGCTTGTGTCCACCGAGCATGCACCGGCCCCCACCGAGCACGTATCACGCAACGTGCGGAGCCGCAAGACCCTCGGCACAAGAACCGAGATCGAGACAACAAAGCGCAGGTACTGTGTTTGGAAAAGGGCCTAGGTCGAGATATGCCGCACATGCCAAACGTTGATGCATCTTTGTGGCTCTCCCTCACGAATTTGTCTTATGCAGTTTCAAGAAGGGCAAGTCCTCGCGGCGCAGCGGCGGCCGAGAGCCCACAGGCAAACCATTGGGCCGCATTCCTGGCCCGGGCTTGCAAATCCCAGATGACGAGCTGTTCATGTATGCCATGTTCCACGGCCCATGGGTGAGCCGTGTTTCGACAATAAAAAGGTTTCCAGCCTATCTTGTTAGTTGCCCCTGTTTTCCACTGTGACGTCATCGTCCCTTGCAGACGGCCAAGTTGAAGAAGCAGTACATAGTGACCACCAACGCGGTGTGGCGCAAGCTGCAAGCCATGCTGCAGCGACTGGCAAATGACGGCCGCCTGCAGGACCCAAGGCTGCTGGAGAAAAAGGTTGGTCTGCATTTTGCCATTGTTACCTAGTGCGGATGAAGCACAGCGATGAGAGCCTCACGAGCATATCCTCAAACGCTACGCACGTGCAGGGCACGCGACTGAACTTGGACATCAAGCGGCTGAAGGCCGAGGGTGTGGATAGCTGGGAGGCATTTACTGACAAGTACTTGAGTGGGCACCGCCCATGACTGAGTTAACACACGCACCCCGTCCATTTATTGGTGTGTTGATACTCTAATGAGCAAAACAAATTGACACTCCTCATCGTTGACTTCTTGCGCTCATGTTCCCTTGCCTACCTTTGTTTCAACTGCTTTCCCATTTGCCATTTGCTTGTGCCCGAAAAAATTGTGCAACGAGAATGCAATCGCCCTTCTGAATACAACATGTTAGTCGAGCTGAATTGTACGCGGCAATGAATTTCAGGGGGGCAGAATGGGGTAGGGTGGTGGCAGGCATGGGAATGGAATGCAAATGCGGGGTGGCGTCTCATACCAGTGCAACACAGGCGTCCCACACAACACCTGTCTGTCTGTCTGTCTGTCTGTCTGTTACACCCATAAGGAGCAAATGAATGCTACGGGCCCAGCTGTGGTGCAGCAGCTGGAAAGGTGAAGGCACCATACACAAACGGGGAGAGAGAGGGGGGTGGGGTACAGACAGAGCAGGGGGGAGAGGGGAGTCTGATTGGCGCGGGTCTCTCCGGGGATAGTGCGGACAGGCGCCTGAGCAGCCCTATGCCGGTCCCGCAAGAGAGTTCACCGCCCCTTCCTCCTCCCCCTGCCCTGCACAATATAACCCACCTTCCAACATGCATGGGTAGCTGCTCTTATGTGTTGTTATGGCTCGAGCCGTCGGTGTAGCGCAGCAACATCTGGGATATAGCAGAGCTGTTGCAGACAAGCGAAGGGGCAGGGGATCACGCCACGCCCTTGTACCACCGCTTGGCGGCCGCGCCGCCGCCCAGCTGGCCGTCAGCACAGACGCCACGCACAGCATACAAACAAAACTGCGTGCCGCTCGAAGTCCCGTTCATCTGCACTCTTCTCCGCAGGATATGCTTCTCCGTGCCCGCACATGAGTCTCTCATCTCCCACTTGAAGTGATCACAGCGGCCGATCGGGCCAGAAGGCTCCCAGCCAATGGAGAACGACAACAAGCAGAGCGCCAATTTGCAGGCAAGCAGCAGGGAGCTGTGCCGCCGCGGCCGTGGAGGTGGTGGCCGCCGCCGCCGCCACCGCGCCGGGCGGTTTAAACCTTTGTAGCTGCTATGCACAGATGCTGACACTTCATCACCCTGCCCACTCACAGCTGGGTGGCGCGCGAGCCGGCAACAAGGATGCCACTGGGCTCAAGCAGGCCCCACCCGAGCGGGCAGCGCTGGCTGGGGTGGTGATGATTGCCGGCCCCAAGATACTCCCCCGAGCCGCAAGGAAGAGCGGCAGCGCGCCTGGCGGCGCCTACCCCTTGCTGGACGCCTGCGCGGCCAGGAAGAGCTCCGGGGTGCCCCACAGCAGCAGCGGCGGCAGCGGCCGTGGAGGCTGCGGGGGCGCAGCGCCAGCGACGGTGAGGAGGGCGAGCAGAGCGATGGCGAGGGTGAGGCAGGGGAGGCGGCCCAGCAGCCATTGCCAGGGGTAGTCAAAATGGCCGTGCACCAGCTTTCAGGCCGGATGGCATGGAAGAGGGGCACCCCCGTTGGCAGCGGCTACCCCTTCCTTGGCGAGCATGCAGCCAGGAAGAGCGCTGCCGCCCCTCCCCTGGCCAAGCGTGGCACCTCCCCACTCCCAGCCACCGCCGACCGCTCAGAGGAGGAGGAGGAGCCTTGCGGCGCTGCCGCAGCGATGATGGCGGCGCTGAAGCGCGTCGAGGCGCCCGGCGACTTTGCCACCGGCGGCAGCCTGCCGCTGGTGCTGCCAAGCCTGGAGCTGGCGCTGCCGGGCGGCGGCGGGGGCGAAAGCGGCTGTGGCGGGGTCGTCGGCCTTCCGCTGTCGGCGCCAGCCGCAGAGGCGCTGCGGACGGCATGTGAGCTGGCGCCGTTTGGGCGGCGGGAGGAGACGCTGCGGGACCCCGCCGTGCGCCACACCTGGCAGCTGGACCCCAAGGCCCTCCGTCTGCGCAACCCCGCCTGGCAGGGTGTGGTGGACCAGGGTGCGTGACTGCCGCTGCTGCCTGCTTTGCCCCGATGCGCGGGCCTGTGTGTGGCCTTGAGCCAGTGCCAGCCGGCGTGCACCGCCTGTGGTTGTGGGCTGTGCTTTCCCTGCACCTGCCCCACTCCCAGCTGGCATGCAGCCCGGCAGCCCCCTCAACCAGGCCCCTACCTGCCACCCTGCTGGTGCAGTGGTTGCCAAGTGCCGGACCGCTCTGGGGCTGGGCAGCAGCGGGGTGGAGGCTCAGCTCTACAAGCTGCTTCTCTATGAACCCGGCTCTCACTTCATTGCGCACAGGTGGGCGAGAGGGCAGCCCAGCGATGCTGCCTGCCTTGCCTGCAGAGGTGGCCGACAAGGCCGCCGATGGGGGCTAGCTCTTGCACCTCATGACGCCCATGCTGCACCAGGCGTGCTGACAAGCCTAGTATGTGCCCCCTTGCCTGCCCTGCAGAGACACAGAGAAGGCAGAGGGCATGTTTGGTGCGCCGGCCAGGGCGCCCAGTGGATGTAGCAAAGGCTGTGCCGCTCCAGCGCAGCGCCAGCTACACGCCGCTGCTTGCGTGGGCGCTGTTGGGGCGTCCGTAAGCAGGCACGCCCTGCTTCTGACACGCAGCTGCCCCCCCGCCTGCCTGCCCACTGGCCGCCTGCCCACAGCCACGCTGGTGCTGCACCTGCCTAGCGCCTACGAGGGCGGCCAGCTGGTGGTGTCCCATGCCGGCAGGACCAAGACGTTTGACTATGCCGCCGACAGCGCCTACGCCCTCCACTTCTCGGCATTCTACGCCGACTGCCGCCACGAGGTGGGCGGCGCGAGCCTGCGGCAGCGCAGACGGGCGCTGCCGCCAGCGCGCTGCCACGCTGCTGCCGCTCAGGCGGGCCCAGCTGAGGCTGCGAGCAGGCGGGTGGGCCACGCCGAGGCCTGGCAGCAGCAGGCCCAGGATCTGGTTCGCTGTTGTGGTGTGCACGCCCATAGCGAGCTGGTGCTGGGCCAGGCCTCAGCGTGCCATCCCTGCCGCTGTGGCTCCTCCCTTCCACTACTGAGCAGGTAAAGCCGGTGACCAGGGGCCACAGGCTGGTCCTGATCTACAACCTGGTGCACAAGGGGCAGGGCCCGGCGCCCGCGCCCGCCGACCACGTCACCGCCATCGAAGCCGTCAGGCGGGTGGTGGCCGGGTGGCAGGCGGAGGAGGCGCCGCCACGCAAGCTGGTGTTCATGCTGGAGCACAGGTGCGCAGCCGGGGCCGGCCTGGTGGCAGTGGGCAGCAGGCCCGACCTTGCAGCACCGCAGGCCAGCGGCAGGGCTCCCCCGCATCTGCCTGCCACCCACCCTTACGCTCCCGCTCGCTCACCTGCCGAGCTGGCGTGGCCGGTGCATGCAGGTACACGCGGGACGGGCTGCGCACGGGCCTGGCTGCTCTGAAGAACTCGGACCGTGCCGTGGGCGATGCGCTGGCGGCGCTGGCGGAGGAGGGGCTGCTGGATGTGCACCTGGCGCTGGTGGAGAGGACAGACACCGGGTGCGGCAGGCAGGGCGCAGAGTCGGGCGCTAGGGCCGGGCGATGGATGCTGCTGGGGCGGCTGCTTGGGGGCGGGTCTTCACCCTCTTGCACGCTTGCAAGGCGCTCGCCCGTGCCTGGCGTTGGGGGCTGCACAGGTGGGTGGGTTGTGGTGATAGGAGCGTTGCCCTGCTCGCAGCTACGACGAGAGCTACGACGGCGACAGGGAGGCGTCGGTGTCGTCGTTTGTGGCGCTGGATGGGCGGCAGGCGCCTGAGCTGGGCAGCCACAGGCTGTGCGAGGAGACAGAGCTGTGCCAGGTGGGCCCCGGCGATGGGCAGCCCAGCCAGGCAGGGGCACAGCTCCGCCTGCTTCCTCACTGCTGCCTGCTCTGTGCCGGCGCCGCAACTCCCCGCTGCACCCTGCCTGCCCTGCCTGCCCCGCCTGCTGCGTCCGCACGTGCTCACACCACGCTGCTGGCTGCTGTGGTTCGCCTGCAGGGCAGTGACTACTTTGAGCAGCAGACCCCGGATGGGGAGGACTTTGAGGAGGCGACGGGCAACGAGGGGGCCACCTTCACCCGCTGGTACCACCGCACAGCGCTGGTGGTGTGGCCTAGGTGCAAGCACTTCAGCATGCGGTGCCGCGGCGACCTGAAACAGGCGGTGGCAGGGCTGCAGAAGGCGGTGGAGCAGGTGGGGGTGAAGGGCGGCGGCAGGCGCTGTGCTGGGGAGCCGCAGCATGGCAGCCGCCTGCGCTGCCGCCTGGTGCAGCCGTGGCTCCTCGTCTCCCAGCCGCAGTCGGGCCGCCCCCGCAGCGGTTGCTGAGCGCCGCTGGCCGCTGGCACCTCTGCCTGCGCAGGGCTCGGAGCCGCGGGCGGTGCTGGCCCGCTGGGCACGCGCGGTGGCAACCTCCCTGCCGCGCATCAACGGCACCGCCCTCCTCGCCAGCGCTCTCTCTGCCGTTGCGGCTCTGGGGGATGCCAAGCCGGCGGCGCTGTGCCTGGCTGTGCTGGCCAAGCAGGCCCAAAGCCGCTCAGCGCTCCATCCCGTCAATCCCCTCGAGGCCGAGCATGCACCGGCCGTGGTGGAGCTGTGCCGCGTGTACAAGTGGGCCCCGCAGTGCGGCGCAGCCCTGAGTGCGGTGGTGGGGCGCCTGTGTGCGGGCACCCCTCCCGACCTGGCCGTCGCCGCGGCGCTGCTGAAAGGGCTGCGGGCAGCGAGCGTGGGTGCGACAGCAGCGCAGCCAACGGAGCGCAGCAGCGGCGGCGGCGGCGGCGCCGGCCACCCGGCGGCGGCGGTGTTTGCGGCCGCGCTTGCCGGCGCAACCACGGCTCTTGCCGGCGCGGCGCGGCAGGATGGGCCGGGGCAGGGGGCGGAGCGCCGCAGGGAACAGCAGGAGGTTGCGGCAGGGCTGCTGCAGGTGCTGGCGCTTGTGGAGGAGCGGGGGGACGCAGAAGCGCTGCACGCTTTCTTCACCACCGCCTTTGCCCGCCACTTCATCACGGCTGCGGCCGGCGCCGGCGGTGCGCCAGGCGCCGCCGCATAAGCGGGCGGCGGCGGCGGCGACGGCATGCTGGCGGCGCTGCTGGCCTGGTGCGAGCGGTGGGGCTGGGAGAGCGAGCGCGCGGTGCGGGCCCTGGAGGCGGTTGCTGCCAGCTGTGCGGCGCAGCCGAGCACCTACCGCGACGTCCTTGCACTGGCCAGGGGCCTGGAGCAGGCGGCAGGTGCTGGCGCAGCCGCTTCCCTGGCGCCGCAGCTGGCGGCAGCGTTTGTCGGGGCGCTGCCTGCCGCCGCCGTGGAAGCACCGCATGCCTACCGGGGCCAGCAGGGCAGCTACTGGGAAGCTGACGCGCAGGTGGGCGGGGGCAAGGGAAGGGGAGATGCGGTAGGAGCGGCAGGAAAGCTGCGGTAGGCGCCAGCCTGGGAACCACCAATCCCGCTGCGCCGCCGCCACGCTGCTTGCAGGCTGTGCTGGCGTGGCTGGTGGCGCTGGGCGACCCCCAGCACGTGGGCGCTTTCTTCGCCGTCGCCGCCGCCGCCACGCTGGCGCCTGAGGCCGCCCTGAGCACGGGCCTGCAGTTGTGCGAGGGCAGGGGCTGGTGGGCCCAGCTGCACGCCGGCCTGGTGGCTGCCCTTGGCCGCGCCGCCCGCAGCGAGGCGGCGATGCCAGCGGCGCTGGCGCACCTAGGCCGGGCGGCGGCGCAGCTGCCTGGGGGGCGGGCGCCGGCGGGCGCCGGCGGCGCGGACGACGCCGGCACGTGGCGCTTTTTGGAGCTCGGCGCCGCGGTGGTGGAGGCGCTGTGTGCGGAGCGAGACAGGGACATGTCCCTTGCCCCGCGGCCGCCCCCCTACTACCACACAGCCTATCGCCAGTACCAGAGCCCAGCAGCCGGCGCACCCGCCGCTCCGCCTCCACGCACCGCAGCATTTGTGCGGGACCTCCTGCACCTGCTCCACGTGCCGGGCAGCGCCGGTGAGTCGCCTGACGCGTGGGAAGGCCTTGTGACCCTGATGCCTGCCGGTGCGGCAGCCACGCGGTGCTTGGGCCATGCCCGTTGCTGCGGCCTGGCAGCAGGCTGCCGAGCGTCTTTGGCCACCCCACCTTGCGGTGCTCCACCAGCGAGCTGCGGTGCGGAGCAGGCGGTTCAGTTCGAGCCCCTGCCCCCCCTGGCCCCCGGCTGCAGAAGCGGCCAAGCTTCAGAGCCGAGCGGCGGCGCACATCGCCGCCAGCCCGCTGCGCTACCCGCCGGCGGCCGTCCTGCTCCCGGCCCTGCAAGCCATCCAGCAGCAGCTGGGCCTGGCCTCGCTGGCGGCGGCTGTGGAGGCAGTGCCCGCGCTGCACTTGCTGGCATCGCGCACGCTGGATCGGGAGAGCGCAAAGGCGCCGCGGCAGCCGCCGGCGCAGCCCGGAAACTGGAGCCGGCCGGACGTGGCGGCCAGGGTCCGCTGCGGCGCCGCGTCCTGCGATTGCGCCACGCTGCGGGCATTCTTGGAGAGCGGCGAGCGGCGGGAGCAGCGCTTTGCGCTTGCCAAGCAGCGCCAGAAGCACCTGGCGAGGTGAGGCCGCCGTCTGCTCTGCATGTCTGCTGCCTTGCAGCACGAGTAGTGTGCATGTGCCGCTGGAGAGCCTGCTGTCCGGCAGCGCGCTGCCTCTGATCGTGGGCAGTGACGGCACCTGCCTCTGCAGGCGTCCTGGATGCATAAGCCAGGGCGCTCGAGCGCCAGCACCGTGTGCGCCTCACCTCTGCTGCTTCTTCGCCCTCCCCCATGCGCCCGCAGCGCGCTGAAACGGGCCGGCCAGATCACTGACTTTGTCTGGAGCGACGACGGGGCGGCGCTGGTGTGCGCCAAGAACAGAGCCACCTATGAGCAGCAGCTGGCTGCCTACCAGCGGTCCCAGGAGCTGATCCGCCAGCTGCAGGCAGCAGTGCGCGGCACCGGCGGCAGCAGCGCCGCGCTGGCGGCGCAGCAGCAGGCGCAGCAGCAGGGGGCGGCGCCTGCAGCGCAGCCGCGGTCAACGACCAAGAGGCCGGCGCCGGCGGCTGCCAGCTGCGGCGCAGGAGGCGAGGTGGTGGACCTGACGGCGCCCAGCCCTCCTGCCAGCAAGAAGCCGCGCCTTTAGCTGCGCCGGCCGTTGGAGCAGTGATGCCACCGGCATGCTGGGCTGGCAGGCTGGCTGCCAGGCCATCCTTTACTCGCCCCTGCGCCAGGCATCCTGCTGGTCGTTTCTGCCTTTTGCCATCAACACTTGCAATTTTGAGAGCTGCACAACCGCACAGTGCAACTGTGCTTTGCTGCCTATCTTTGATTCCTGCTTACGGTTCCTTTGGCACCGGTAGATTCTGTGATGCTTGCTTCCTTTCTGATGTACGGACCTCAATCGATCCGAGGGTGCAGTCCGTGGCAGTTGCTATGCAGGTGCCGGTGCAGAACAGAGATGGCGGCGGCAACAGCGAGTGGCGGCGGCAGTGGCAGCCGGCGCCAGCAGCTCCAAGCTGCATGCAAGGGCATTTCAAGCTTGCTTATTGGATGGACAGATCGCTGCGCGAGGAGGACGGATCAGGGGCGCTGCACACACTTCCTTCCCCTCCGCCCAAGGGGTGCCACAAGGTGCCAGGCGCCCTTCGCCTCCCCACACCGCACCATCCGCATTTGATGGGGAGTATCAATCGTAAATCATCCTTCACCCTCTGAGAACCGTGACAGAGGGAGAAAACTCAGACCTCTGAGCGGCAGCTACCGCCTGGCTGCCTTGTGCAAGGACTACCTCAACTCCTCTCCATCCAGTGGAGGTTCACTCAGTGGAGGCCCAATCAGCAGCACAGAAGGTAAGCTCACACGACAGCTGGTACGTGCTCCACAACTAAGCAGGGTGCTACAGGGGCAGCCTCCCATGTCGTGTGATGCCACTGCTCGCTGCAGGCTGCCCCGATTGCATGCCCCGCACAGTGTCATCGTCATCACCAAGGCTGGGGCAGAGCGCTGCAAGTCAAGCTGGGCGGTTGGCACAGTGGCGGTAGCGGCAGGTGGCGGCGGCGCTGCAGCTGGGTTGGCCAGGCCAGGGAGCAACTGAGCAGCCATGACATCAGAGGAGCCTGTCGCTAATCGTGGCTACACTTTCCACCTGGCAGCGTTGCTAGTGCTGCTGGCGGCACCATTGAGCAGTGCCGGCGCAGCAGCAGGTGGGCGGGAAGGCCGCCGTGCAGTGGGTGGATGCTGCGTACCTGATTGCGCACCTGCCTGGGCCTGTGCATGCCCCAAGCCTTTCTTATGCGCTCCCCCCGCCCCATGCTTACCCTTTCTCCGGTCCTTGCAGGCTGCGACTGTGACAACATCACCCTGCGGGGCCCGCCGGTGTGCGCCGGCGGCATCACGTTTGCCAACCGCTGCGTCGCCTCGTGCCAGGGCATCGCCGGCGCAACGCAGGGCGCTTGCAGGGCGCCCGCGGCGGCGAATGTGGAAGCAGAAGCAGCAGCGGCGGCGGCGGCAGCGGCAGCGGGAGGGTCGGATGTGAGCGGCAGCGGCCAGGCGGATTTTGATACCGCTGCCACAGTGGGGCGAGCCGTGCTGGAGCGGCACAGCGGCGAGGGCTTTGTGTTCAGCGGCAAGCTGAGGGTGCGCAAGCAGGGCAAGGTGGCGACCCCCAAGGTTCACACCCTGCAGGCTGTCAGGTGCGCACATACATGTGGGCGTGGCGGGAGGAGGGCAGGGGCCACCTGCCAAAACGGGAGCCGGCCACCAGCTGCCCGGGAGGCAAACTTGGCTGTAAACTGTGGGCACAGAGGCGCCACAGGCTTACCGCTCACCCATCACCTGCCACCCACCCACCCCATGCAGGGCCGCGGCAAGGACCGGCACAGCTTTTGCCGCACGCTTCACCTCCGCCGGAGAGCTCTACTTTCGCGTTGCAGACCCGCAGGCCAGCGCCGCCGCCGCCGCCTCGGCCGCCACCGCCGGCGCGGCAGCCGGCGGCGGCCACGGCTCGGCTGCCCGGCCGGCGCATACCCCCGCTCAGCCGGCACGTGGCGTCGGCGGCAGGAGGATGCATGTGGTGGGGTGGGACAACCGGGTGGCGGTCAGCGACCTGGCGCTGCCCTACTCTCCCATCGGCGTGGTGGACACCGGCTGCACCGGCACGCTGATTGGGCCCAGGAGCGTGCTGACGGCAGGTGGGGCCTGCCGCCTGGCTGGCCGCCTGCTGGCTGCCGTCGGCGGCTGTCAGGTTGGGTCGCACTGGGCTGCCGCCAGGAGCGGGTCTGCTGGGCCTGCAGCCAGCCTTGCGTGAGCAGCTGCCCGCTCGCTGGCCCTGCTGCCTTTGCCCACCACCACGCCGTCGCCCGCACCCCGCGCCCCCAGGCCACTGCGTGTACGACACCGGCGCCCGCCGCTTCTACGGCAACCTGGGCTTCTGGGCGCAGCGGTACGCCGGCAAAAGGGCGCGGTACTACGACTGGGAGTACGTCACCACTCACTTCTCCTCAGCCGCCCCCTGGACCAAGTGCGGTGACGGCAACGGGCAGTGCCAGACGGCCCAGGACAGGGTGCACGACTTTGCGGTGGTGCGGCTCAGGGAGCGGGCCGGCGACGTGCACGGCTGGCTGGGGTTCACGTACCGCTGCCAGAACTCAAGCTACCGCGTGGCCACCGCCGGGTACCCGCTGGACCGCGACCCGCGCCAGGTGCGCCTGTACCGCGCCGCCGGCAAGCTGGCGCCCTTCCCCGGCTGCGCGCCCACGCCCTGGGACGTCCCCTCGGGCTTCATCTCCTCCAACCTGGATGTGGCGGTGGGGCAGTCGGGGTCGCCCATCTGGGACCCCAGCCTCTTCATCAGAGCCATACACGTGTCCTACCTGCCCAACGGCCGCCCGGGGCACCGCACCATCAACCGAGAGGTGTACGACATCCTGCTGCCGCTGGCGGTGTGACCGTCCAGCCCGACGGCTGGTGTGCCGCGCCTGCTGCGCCGCTCCCGCTTCCCCGTTTCTCTTTTTTTCCAGATGCCTGCTTTCCACCCAAATTCATCCATTCGTCTTTTCCTCCTTTCCGTTGTGTGTGTTTGACCCTTCATTCCTACCCTCAGCCCTCACCCGCCCAAAGTGAGCCGCCCATCCGTCACCATCAATCACCCCTCCTTGCCCCGTCCATCCATCATCAATGACTGCATCAGCTGCAGCCGGTTTGCCAAACGGATGCTGCACCATGCATCTGTGGGTGCCATCCCGTAAACACCTTCTCATCCTCTTCCCGCCCTCACCGCCATTGGTCAGCGTGGAGACGCCTTCTCTCTGCGCTCCTCGCTCTCGCCCCCTCATCCTCCAGCTCCCCATTCCAGCTCAAGTATTTATTGCAAAGGCCTTTTTTCTTAGTCAAGCAGTCATGCAAGATAGTGGCGACAAGATGGACACAAAGCAGAAGCAAGCAAGAAAGCAAGCAGCATGCCAGGAAGGAAACAGGGAGGAGAGGAGTCACAACCAGCCAGGAAGGGGCCACAGGGCGGCAGGGGCGGCGTGCGGCCACACGGCACACGCCGGGGCGCTGCCAAGCCCCACATATTGACGCCGCATCTTCGGGAGGCATTGCCTGGCAGATCACAAGAGGGGGCTCCAAGCACGGCAGGGGGCCCACCTCAGAACAGGTTTCCCAGCGGGCCTCAGAACAGGTTTGCCAGCCGCATGTTGTCCTTGTTGGGCAGCCCCATGGCCTGCAGGATGGCGCTGCGCACAATCTGCACCAGCAGACCGCGCCGGTCCAGCGCCAGCGCCAGGCGGTGCGACTCGACAGAGTAGATCTGCGGGGAGGGGCGAGACACCGGCAGGCGACATGGTGTGGGTGCGTGGATGGGCGAGCGTGGCGAGTGCGAGCGCACATGGGCACGTGCGCCAGGAGACCAGCTGCAGGGAGGGGGCGAGCAGCCAACAGGCGGCGCGGCGGTGGCTCGCACTGTGCGGCAGCGGCTCGCCCCGTGCGGCCTCACCTGCACCTTGATGCCCCCCTGCGTGGGCAGGCAGCGGGCCTGGTCCAGGTCGTGCCGCCAGCTGCCGGTGTGCACCACCACGCTGCCGCCGCAGCCGCCCACGTTGTCCAGCACGCGCCGCCGCAGCACGGCCTGCCACTCGGGGCCCTGCCCCGGCCTGCGGGCGGCGCGGGAGCAGCGCGGCATGGCGCGGCAGCGTGGGCGCAAGCCGCTCGCGCCAGCCAGCCAGCCAGCCACCTACGCGGTTGTCCCTTCACACCACCACGCACACGCGCACACACACACACACACACACACCGCCGCCACAAACCCGCCCACCACCCTCCAGGCCCCCACACACGCCTGATGGATGAGCTGGCCAGGTCTATCTGGGGCGTCCAGGCGTGCACCTCTGTGGCCAGGTGCGCAAACAGCAGCGCCCCGGTGGCGCCCATGGAGTCCCCGATGAACACGACGTGGCGGTACCGCCCGCACACGGCCGCCAGGCGCCGCTCGTAGTGCGCGTAGCCGTCGTCGCCGCCTGGCGGGCATGGGAAGGTGGTGCCGAGTGTGGGGCGTGGGTGAGTGTGACGTGTGTGGTGGGCGCGTGGATTGCGGGAGGCGGCCGGCCAATTCCGTTGCCTTCCCCGCAACCAGAAGCAACCCTCTGCCCAGTGCACCACCTGCCGGCCCCCGGCCCGGCAACCAACACACCCTCTCCACCACCAACCACCCAACACCCGCGTCGGTGGCGGCGGCGCCTGACGACTGCATCACTCCACCACCGCACCACACCACACCCTCGCCGCCGCCACCTCCCAAGGCTCACCTCCGTACCAGCTGCGGTGCGGGTCCACCACGTACAGCACATCAAAGTTCTGCTCCTGCGGCGTGGCCGCCGCGCCCCGCACCTTCTTCAGCAGGCCACCCCAGTTGGGGGTGCCCGGGGCGGATCCAAAGGACACCACCAGCACCTCGGTGGTGGGGCGGCTGCTGCCGTTGGTGGCGGCGGCGGCCGCAGCGGGCGCCGCCTCCAGCTTGAAGTACCCGTAGCCGCCGCAGCTGGGTGCGGGCCCCGACACCCGCAGCTTCCCGCTGGCGGCGGCGGCCTCCAGCAGGGCGGGCGGCGCGGCCGCCGCCTGCCGCTCGTCCAGCCCCAGCGCGGTCAGCCCCGAGGCGGGCAGGGCGGACAGCAGGCCGGCCACGGCCTCGGGCGTCAGCGGGTTGCCCTCCAGCCACAGCGTGCGCAGGCTGGGCGCCTGCAGGGCGGGCGGGCCAGGGGGTGGGGGGCGCAGGTCGAAGGCGTGTGCCGCGCGCGCGCGGCACAAAGCAGGCGCAGGAGAAGGCCGGGAGAGAGCGGCCGCGGCATCTGCCAGCCGGCCAGGATGCGTAGCCGGGCTGGCAGCCCACAGCCCACCGTAGGCCCCACCAACTGCCCCACCTGCCCGCACCTGCAGCACCGCTGCTGGGAACTCGTGCAGGCAGTTGCCGTAGAGCGACAGCGAGTGGAGCACGGGGGCGGCGCGCAGCGAGGAGGGCACCGCCGCCAGGCCGCAGTCGGCGGCGCACAGGTCGCGCAGCGCGGGCAGCGTGCCCAGCGCGTCAGGCAGGAAGGCAAGCCCCGGGTTGCCCTGCAGGCTCAGCTCCTGCAGGCTGGTCAGGCCGCCGATGTGGGACGGCAGCTCCCTGCGCGGCGGTGGGGTGGTGATGGGGGAGGTGCTGGGGTGTTTGGAGGGGGTGGGGCGGAGTACGCACGCACGTGGACAGGCAGGCAGGCAGCAGCCACGACAGTGACAGCGAGGCAGGCGGTGGCGCCACAGGCACGGCCTCTCAAGGCAGGGGCTGCGGCGGCCGGCCTCCCCACCGCAGCTGGTTGCCGTGCAGGCTCAGCTTCTGCAGGCTGGCCAGGCGCCCGATGCTGCTGGGCAGCGCCGCCAGCTGGTTGCCCGCGCAGCTCAGCTCCTGCAGCGCCACCAGCCCCGACAGGCCGTCTGGCAGCGCCTCCAGGCGGTTGCCGCTCAGCGACAGCTGCGTCAACGCCGACAGCCGCCCGAGCTCCGCGGGCAGCTCTCGCAGCAGGTTGCCGTGCAGCCAGAGGCCGCGCAGGGCGGTGAGGGCGCAGATGCCGGCAGGCAGCGCCGCCAGCTGGTTGCCCGCCAGCTGCAGCCGAGACAGGCTGGCCAGGCGGCTGATGTCGGCGGGCAGCTCGGGCAGCTGGTTGCCGGCAAGCGACAGCTCTTCCAGCTCTGCAGACCGGCAGCAGGCAGGGGAGGCAAGAGGAGGCACAAGGGGCGTCAGGGACAAGGGTCGGCAGCACGACTGGCAGGTGGGCAGCCGGGCCATGCAGCAACTGGACTGGCATCCATCCGATAATCAAGCCCAGTCAGCCAACCCAGGGTGCCGCCGCCGCGCCTCCATCCGCTACCGGCCACCCGGTGGCAGCCGTCCCCGGCCAGGCAGGCGCCGCACCGGGCAGGTCGAAGGCGGCTGGCGGCACGCCCTGGAGCTCGCAGTCCGACAGGTCCAGCCTGCCGGAGCCCTCTGCCAGCATGCACTTGACCCGTATCGACTGGTCCACCTGCGGCTCCCCGCCCCGCTCCTCATCCCGGCTGCTGCCGCTGCCCTGGTCGCCGCTGCTGCTGCCGGCGCTCCTGCATGGACAGCAGCGCCGCGGGGCCGCCGCCTGCCCCTGCTGCCCCTGCTGCCGCCGGCCGGGCTGGGGTGGCGGCTGGCGGCTGGCGGCCGGCGGCTCGCGCCGGCGGCGCTGGGCAGGCACCTGCCATGATGTGCCGGCGGCAGGTGCCCTGCCTCTGCTGGCGGCGCGGGGCCCGACGCCCGCGGTGGCAGCAGCTGCCGCCGCCGCCATCGGCATCATTCGCCCGCCGCTGCTTGCCGGGGCTCACTTCTTGCGCAGCACGCGCCGCGCCTTGGCCAGGGCTTCCTTGGCGGAGGCAGACTCCCAGAGCGGGGCGGTCCACTTGCCGTCTGCACAGCACCGCGGGGCGCCGCCCAAAGGCGGGCGCTGCAAACTCAGATGCAGCGACGGCTGCGGAGGCACCTGGCCGCTTCCTGCTGCTGGCACCAGATTCCCCCATGATGGTGACACCACAAAACTGTGCTCCCTTGCCTCCTGTGCCACTGCCTGCCTGCAACCAGCGAGAGCTAACCTGGCTGCTTTTTGAAGTCTGGGCCTGGGGGCGCCAGCTGCGACGGCTTCTGCGGCTTTTCAGAGCCCCTTCCGGTCGCCTCCAGAGTCTGATGGAGGATGGCGAGGGCTACAGAGGCGGCTGCAATGCCTGCGATGGCTCCCCACATGTATGCCCAGCCCAGCGCCCGCGTGCAAGCGGCCGTCTGCCGCACGGCAGTGGCCGCTCGTCGGTGGCGCTATCACCTGTGCAGGGCAACACTGGGCGCTCGTCAGGGGCTGCTGCCGATCACACCAAGCCAGGGACTGCCACTTCCTGGGCCTGGGCAGCCTTGCCGAAACCACACCTGATTGAGGAGGCAACACTCGCTCGCACCCTGCCTGTCAGCTGTTGCTGGGTGCAGGCACGCGCTCTGGCGGTGTGGCGGGCTGCGCAGGGACGGGATCAGGGATGGGTTTCGATAGGCCTAGGCGTGCAAAATGGGCAGCACACGCAGCAGGAGACTGGCCCATGCCGCTTGGCGCCTCCCGGCATGCATGCATTTCCCCACATCAATCCCAAGCCCTTTGCCTACCTCCTGCCTGCCCTGCGCTGCTGCATGTGCATGTCTCAACACTTGCAGTGTCAGTAAACATCTTTCAGCGCTAGAGGCCTGCCGGAAGCCATGGCGGGCGGCATAGAAGCCTCTGAATATGACGAGGCGCCCGCCGCGAGCAGCAGTGGCGGCGGGGTGACCTTTGTGCTGGAAAATGCGCAGCTGGAGGCCGCCAAAGTGGGCAAGAACTACGAGCTGCTCAACTGCGACGACCACGCCAACTTTCTGCGGCGGCACGGCAAGGACCCGGCCCTGTATCGGCCTGACATCTGCCACCAGGTCGACCGCCGCTGCCGCCGCTGCCTGCCAGTGTGCTACCGGAGCATGCTTGCTCCGTTGCTGTGCCGCATCCTTGTGCTCGTGCAGCTGCACAACGCAGCTCTGGCTCACGCCTACCCTTCAGCATCCGCGTTGCCTGATCTGCAGACGGGCAACAACCTCTGACGTCGCTGCTGCCGCCCGCACCGTGCAGGCGTTGCTAGCTATCCTGGACAGCCCGCTGAACAAGGCGGGCAAGTTGAAAGCCCTGTACGTGCACACCGCCAAGAATGTGCTCATACAGATCAACCCGCAGGCAAGGCGGGACAGCAGCGCTGGCTGCACTCGCTACCCGCCTCCGCCACCGTTGCTGGGCTTGCCATGCTGCGCTGCGCCGGCATCGAGCTACGCCATGCCGCTATGGTGGCCCCTCTTCCCCCGTGCCGCAGGTCCGCCTGCCGCGCACCTTCCGCCGCTTCTGCGGCCTGCTGGTGCAGCTGTTGCAGAAGCTGAGCATCCGCGCCACCAACGGTCCCGACAAGCTGCTCAAGGTGGTCAAGGGGCCCGTCACTAAGTACTTCCCGCCAGGTGGGCAGGCCCAGCAGGGCGCAGGGCAGGGGCCGGGGGCCAGCAGGTGGCTAGCTTGCTTGTGAGCGGCTGGCTCTGGCCTGGCTGCAGCCGCATCAGCAGCAGGGTGGCTGTGTGTGCTGGGAGGGCCGCGTGCATCCATCGAGCCCGCCTCATCCATCCCCCCCTGCGCCCTCCCCTGTGCGGTTGCCGCAGATGCGCACCGCATCGGCTTCTCCCACTCGGCCAAGACGCTGGTGGCGATGCACGACTATGTGGCTCGCCCCGACTTTGGCGACCGACCGCTGGCCTTTGTGGTGGGCGCGTTTGCGCACGGCAAGGTGCGCGGCGGGGCGCAGGCCGGGGCGGGCTCGGCAGCACGCGAGCGGCAGCGGCCACGCTGCCCAGGCCGAGGCAGCAGGCAGCGCGTGTTGTGTGTGCTCCCTTCCGGCGCCTGCTGGTCTCCCACAACCCTGGCGCCACCGCGGTTTCTTCCCTGCCATTTCCCACCCCACCCGCCCTGTGCCCCCTCCTGCTTCCCCTGCAGATAGACGACGCGTACGTGGACGAGTACATCTCCATCTCGCAGTTCCCGCTGTCGGCGGCGTACGCGCTGGGCCGCATCACAAACGCGCTGGAGCAGAAGTGGGGCATCATCTGACCGGCGCCGCCGCCGCGCCGCCCTTGTATGCGGCGCAACTGACCGAGGCTGACTTGACCCACGACACGACTCTCTCTGCTCCGACCCCTCCCCGCTCCGCCGCCCCTCGCTGGCGCCCTCCCACCTCAGCTCAATTCGCCTGCCGCCGCACCCTGCCCCTGCTGCGACGCACAGCGTGCGCGCCGCCCTCTTGCCGTCAGCCCCTGCTGAGCATTTTACCTTCCTCCCACTAGGTTCCCACTCGCCCGCCCTGCCCTGGCGTCCTTGCTTACAAGGCGGGCCCACCGGCAGATGTGAGTGTGTTGCAAAGGAATAAATGTAAACCGTTACTCAGTTCACAGGGGGCGTGTCACAGTCATCCACACAGGTTGGTACAAAATAAATGAAAGCGGGGAGAGGGGTAGCAGCAGGAGCGGGAAGCGGGTCTGGGGGATGCGACGGGATGTGTGGCGGGAGCAAGGACGCCAGGCAAACCGGCAAGCAAAATGGAGTGAAGTGTGGGGCATGCTATCGGGCCGCCGCCCGGCGCCGGGCGGGCGGCAGCACCTGGGGCGTGCGCTCGCCTGCCGCACCGGGCGGGCGGCAGCACGGAAGGGCGTATCTTGCGCCGATGGGAGGAGGCACGCCGCAGGCCTGTGCCTGCCACTTCAGGCCCACTTGGTGGAGCGCAGCCACTGTGGGTCCATCATGCGCGCGTAGTGCACGGTGCGCTCGTGCAGCGCGTCGTAGATGCGGCCCGCCTCCTGGTTGAAGCCGCCGCAGAACTGGTGCACCTTGAAGGCGCCGATGGCGGCGGAGCCCAGGGGCTGCAGCACGGCACCCGTGTTCCACCCCTTGGCCCTGCGGGGCAGGGAGGAGGAGGGGGGGGGGGACGAGGATGAGCGGGGTGGGGAGGCGGCGGCAGGGGGTGCAGCCAGCTAAGGCGGCCGGCCGTGCTGCCCCGCAACTCGATCCCCTCCTTCCCTCTCCTCTGCTCTCATCCACCACCACCACCACCACCCAAACCACCACACCCACATACACACAAACGCACACCACACCACCGCCACCCCACCACGACCACAGACAGACACACACACACATGCAACCCACCACAACCCCCACCACCCACCCACCCACCCACCACCCCACCCACCCCACCTGATCATCCCCTCCAGCGAGTCGAGCGCGTGCTGCATGAAGCGCCGCCGCCGCGCGCTGGCTGGCCCACCGCAGGTCCCCCAGCAGCGCGCCGTCCCAGGGCAGCCCCGCCTTGGCCATGCGCTGGCGCAGCGGGTCGTGAGGGTAGGTGACGCGCGAGGCGGCGGCAGCGGCGCCGTCCATGTAGGCACCCAGCCGGTGGCTCTCGGCAACCACGCTCGCCTGCGGGGGGTTGGGTGGGGTGATGTGCGGTGGGAGGGTGTGCAGGCGGGGGGAAGCAGCGGTCGAGACGGGCTGGGGCGGTGTGCGTGTTGGCTGGCTGGTTGGTGAGAGTGGGGAGGAGGTGGGCCCGGGGGGCAGGGGAGGGGCGGCGGCAGGGGCGGGAAGTGTTTCCGGCGAGGCCGGGGAGGGCCGGGGAGGTGATGACGCAGGTGGCAGCCGCCCAGCCTCCCTCCCAGCCACCCCCCCCTCCCACCCTCCAGGCCACCCCCCCGGCCAGCCCCAGCAGGCGGGGCGGGCTCACCTGCGGGTCGCACCGCCACTTGCTGAGCGTGTCGCACATGTCGAGCAGCTGGTCAAAGACGGCGGCGGCCTCGGCCATGACGCGCCACCTGGCGGCCGGGAAGGCGGCGGCGGCGTGGCCCGACCGCGGCGCGTCGCCGCCCTGCGCCCTCACGTCGCCCACAAAGTCCGACACGTCCTGCAGGCTGCGCGGCGCAAAGGCAGCCACCGCGGCGCCGCGCGCCGCCAGCGTGGGCAGGTACGCCGCCGCCTCTTCCTCGCTCAGCTCCGGCTCGGCGGCGGCGGCTGGCGACTCGGTGACCGTGCGGCGCGGGCTCAGCGGGCTGGCCGTCGGCGGCGTGCGCGGGGTGGGCGGCGTGCGCGGGGTGGCGGCGCCGGGCGTGGCGCTGCCGCCGCGCGCGCCGCCGGGGTTGGCGCCTGCGCCCGAGGCGCGGCGCGAGCCGGGCGCCGCAAGGCTGCCGCCGGCCGCCACCTCGGCGCGCACGGCGTCCCAGGCCACGGTGGCCGCCACGATGCCTCGCCCCTTGGACAGCTCGTTGTACAGCGTGATGACGCGCGGGTCGCGCTTGATCGCATCCTCCGGGGAGGGCTTGATGCCGCGGCTCTTCTTGCGCGGCCGGGGCACCGTCAGGTTGGGCGGGTTGAACACCGTGGGCTCCAGGGCGCGCCGCGTGGGTGAGGGCGGCGGCGCCAGCGACTTGGGGCGGAGCGGCGTGGGCGGCACGCCCGCCAGCCGCCGCGCCTTGTCCGTGGCGCGGCGCACCAGCGAGCGCAGGTCGCCGCTGGCGGCTGGCACGGCCTGCAGGCGCGGCAGCAGGGAGGCGGTGGTGGGGGGAGGCTGAGGGGGCGGGCAGGCGAGGCTGGGTTAGGCCAGCCTTCCTTGCTCGTCCCACGGCTGCCCTCCACACAGGCGAACGGCGCTTGGAAGCCTGCCCGCTGCTGCCGGGCCCAGCCAGGGCACGCACCAGGGCGGCGACCTTGAGCCCACGCCTGCCCAGGTCTGCCAGCAGCACGCCGACAGCCGCCTCCAGGCTGGCGCGCGCCTCCTCCAGCGGCGGCTGCACAGGTGCACGGGGCGCGCAGCGCAGCAAGCGCGGTGAGGGAACCGGCACAGCCCAGATGGTGGGCGGGTGCGCCACCAAAAAGGCAGCAGCATGCTCCAGCCAGCAGCTGCCCTAGAAGCACGCCGGGCATGTGAGGACACCGGGACCA